ATGCACCGCCATACACTCTGCACTCCTCTCCCTGTACATACAACCAACCGCCATACACTCCACACTCCTCTCCCTGTACATACTACCCATCACCATACACTCCGCACTTCTCTCCCCGCCATACACTCCCTATTTAACATTAACACATTCTGCACTATGTAAGTAATCTCAGACACCATTTAACCACACCCCGTTTAAGCCACGCCCAATTTTTAGCACAATTTAAAACACACACCCCTCTCTCTTACCCCCTCTTCTCTCACCCCTTCCTCTCTCTCTCACTCCTCCTCTTTCTCACCCCCTCTCACTTTTACTTCTCCCACATGGCAGTCATCTTTAAACCTGGAAGTCTCCAGTGGCTTCTATGGAAATAATACGGGAACATTCATGCAGTATTTGTTGCAGTAAATATTTAAATGCCCTTTCCATGCAGCTGGGCTGCAATCTGTAAGTGGTGTGCTGTGTGAGTGTGGCTTGTGTAGGCGGGGACACAGGGAGCCCCATTATCTCTTATTGCCCGGGGGCCCCATGAGTTGTCAGGCCACCCCTGCTTCAAGCTCTGCAAGTTTAAGCTGTATTTGGCAAATAGCAACAGCATGGCCATCCTGGGCGTCTGACAGCATTATGTGCCTGAGCTACTTCACTCAATAAAATTGGTACATTCCTCTAAGTGCTCCATTCTATTTTGCATAGGTGGAAGAGAGATTCTCAGGTCTCATTGCATGTCAGCCTGTAATGAGAGCAGCATAGCTTTTAACTGCCTCCTGTCCGCCATATAAGGAAATGATGGGCGCAAGGCGGCTCTCTCGTTCTGGGAGGATGTCATATGGTGTCCTCCCACTCTAACTGCCCGTGCATGCCCCCGGGGGCACGCAGTACGGCGATCGGTGGTGCACTGTGTCCCCGGGACACAGCTGATCATCGATCAGCGGAAAGAGACGATAACTTTGGCTCTGTCATATGATCAGCTGTGTCCAATCACAGCTGATCGCATGTAGATAAGGAAATGCCGGTTATTGGCATTTCTCTCCTCACGAGCTGTCACGCTGATAATCGGCATTCCTCAGAGGGGACATCTACACTGATCATCAGGGCACTGATGATCAGTTGCGCCCCATCAGTGCCACATGTCAGTGCCAATCAATGTCACCTGTCAACTAAGAAAAAAACTTTTTTTTTCTCACAATTTTCAGTTGTTTTTGGTTTGTTTGTCAAAAAACAAGTGGTAATTAAATACCACCAAAAGAAAGCTTTATCTGTCTCAAAAAAGTTATAAAAATTTCATATGGGTACAATGTTGCATGACCGTGCAATTGTCATTCAAAATGCGACAGCGCTGAAAGCTGAAAATTGGCCTGGGCAGGAAGGGGGTGAAAGTGCCTGGTAGGCAAGTGGTTAAGGTGCTTTCTGAAGCTGGGTTGTCTGAGGCTGGAAAAGCTGCCAGGGAGTTAGAGGAGTTGTAAGCTGTGTCTGTGGAGAGAGCATCTGCCCAGTGCTGCTTTTTAAATGCAGGTAATTTAGCAAGTAGGGGATGCTGCAGCTCCCTTACCTTTGTCTAGACTTTGATGAGACATCCTTGGATCCCTCAGAGCAGCGGGGAAGGCAAGTGGTGCTTCCGCTCAGCGCCATCTTGTGCAGGGAGGTGAGATGGCTTCACGAAGAAGTCTTGCAGTCGACTTGATCCCTGGTGCTTAGGTTTCCTTCTGGACATTTCCAGGGATGACCCAGGAGCTAGATCCTCCAAACTGGAGATGGAAGCTGCAGGGCAGACACTGATTACTGCTTCTGTGTCTCAGTCGGGAGGAGAGCACGTAACTGGGTGGTCATCACGGGCTGCAGCCAAACTATACCCCCGTGAGGTTCAATTTCAGTATCTGTATATGTGTTTTAACCCCTTGCCTACTAAGCACTTTTACCCCCCTTCCTGCCCAGACCAATTTTCAGCTATCAGTTCTCTGCAACACTGTAACCAAACTAAATTTTTATCATTTTTTTGAAACAAATAAAGCTTTCTTTTTTAGTGTATTTAATCACCACTGGGGTTTTATTGTTTGCTAAACAAAAAAAGACCAAATATTTTGAAAAACAAAACATTTTTCTTAGTTTCTGTTATAAAGTTTTGTAAATAAGTAATTTTTCTCCTTCACTGATGGGCACTGATAGGCTGCACTGATGGGCACTGACAAGGAGTCACTGATGGGCACTGATGGGCGGCACTGATGGGCAGCACTGTTAGGCGGCTAATAGGCGGCACTGATAGGCGGCACTGATTCAACTGATGGGCACTGGTTGCCAGCACACATGGGCACTGATGGACACGGTTGGCCGCACCAATGCCCTGATGATCAGTGTAGATGTCCCCCTGTAAAATGCCGCTTACCGGCTCTCTTCTCCTCACGCGCTGTGAGCATGAGGAGAGGATTGCCGATAACCGGATTTTCCTATTTACCCTGTCATCAGCTGTGATTGGATACAGCTGGTCACATGGTAAGAGCGGCTGTGATTGGCCCGTTCCCTAGTCCCCTGGCCCGTTCCCTAGTTGTGTCCAAAGGACATGGATGCCCTCCCAGAACTTGCTGAACACACTGTAGCCGTCTTTTGGCTATAGCATGATCAGGAACTGGTTAAAGGGAATCTTTAAAGAGGTAATTGAGATTGATTGGCTGGCTCACTTTTAGTCACTTGCCTACTGGGCACTTTTACCCCCCTTCAAGCCCAGGCCAATTTTCAACTTTCATTGCTCTCACACTTTGAATGACAATTGCGTGGTGATGCAACATTGTACCCGTATGAAATTGTTATCATTTTTTTCACACAAATAGAGCTGGTCTTTTGGTGGTATTTAATCGTCACTTGGTGTTTTATTTTTTTTTTTGCACTATAAACAAAAAAATTGCAAAAAAAAAAAAAAAAAAAAACAAGATTTTCTTTGTTTCTATTATGACACTTTGCAAACAGGTAATTTTTCTTCTTCACTTATGTGTGTTGATGAGGCTGTACTGATACGCAGCACTGATGGGCACTGATGAGGTGGCACAGATAGGCAACACTGATGGGCACTGATGAAGCGGCACTGGTGGGCATTGATGAGGAGGCACTAATGATGCTGCATTAATATGCAGCAATGATGAACACTGATAGGTGGCACTGACGGGCGGCACTGACTGACAGCACTGACTGGCGGCACTGCTGGGCAGCACTGATGGGAGACACTACTGGACACTGGTGGGAGGCACTACTGGACACTGGTAGGAGGCACTGCTGGACACTGGTGGGAGGCACTGCTGGGACTGAACATCAGTGCTGATCTGCTCTGTGACAGTTGCTGGTTATAGGCAGTACTTTCATCACGCTGTGACAGCGTGAGGAAAGTGCAGCCGATAACCGGCAACTGTATTTACTCGGTGTAGCCATCATTCGGCTATAGCGCGGTTGACAAGAGGTTAAGAAAACTGGAAAGTTACAATATATATGTTTTTTTAAATTTTTATGATTGAAGGAAATAAAACATGTCTGTGTAACTAAAATAATTAAAACATACTGTATGAAAGACAAAGCCTTGGGCTAGTGTGCCGAAGCTCTTCAGATCAGTTAAGGTCAGCTTGAGATCAATTTGTGTTTTTGCTCCACAATAAATCAATATACAGTGCCTTGAAAAAGTATTCGTACCCCTTGAAATTTTCCACATCTTGTCTTGATACAACCAAAAATGTAAATGTTTTTTATTGGAATTTTATTTGATAGACCAACACAAAGTGGCACATAATCGTGAAGTGGAAGGAAAATGATAAATGGTTTTCAATTTTTTTTACAAATAGATATCTGAAAAGTGTGGAACCACCCAAGGGCTAACTCCTAGCTTGTACAGCTTTTGTATTAGATCATTATTTGGAACTATATCAAATGCCTTGCTGAAATCAAGATATGCTATGTCCACAGCACCAACATGTGAAGTCACTCCAGTGATAATCACGCAGGTGAAAAATAAAATAAATAAAAATAAATGAAAAAATAAAAATACAAAATAAAATATATATTTTATTTTGTATTTTTATTTATTTTATTTTTCACCTGCGTGATTATCACTGGAGTGACTTCACATGTTGACATTAGGATTTACCAAAGGATAACGGCAAATGCCTAGCAACCGCTGCTGAACCGTGCATGCGGCGTTTGCGGAGCGTTTGCCGGGCGTTAAAAAACGCCGGACCCACGCTTGCCAGACGCTATAGGGGCGTTTGGCAAGAGTTGGAAAAACAGTCAAGTGTGAACGAGCCCTTAGTTTGTCACATGCCTTTACTTGTGAGGTCTGACAACACAGTGGTGCTTGGAGCCCACACAGAACTGTCACCACCTTGTGATGAAAATGTGGGGAAAATATGCAATAACATGCAGTGCTTAATGCCTCCACAACCAGTCATCATGTCCAGAATTTAGGGCTATGCAGATAAAACCACAAAAATCCTGCAAAATGCATAGCTGCTTTAAGGGGATTCTGGGAAATGCTACACTGTCAAGTCTTATAAATGTGTGTGGTAAAAGCTTAGCCTTCAGCTTTCCAGCTCTTTTTGACATTTTATTTACTAGCAAAGTACTGAACGCTGTTATTATCTGTGGCTTTTTTCATGTTTTGAGGACCTCAGTGTTAATATATCTACCATAGCTATTGCCCTAGTTTTCTCTACAGAAGGAACTCAAGAGATTTCACAATTGGAGTTCTTAAGCTATACAAGATCCTGTTAGGCGACTAAGTTCTACAGCATATAAAACTAAAATATCAGTTTTGGTTTGACCACTTCCAGAGAATGTAATGTACAGTATAGTTGGATTCTTGAATTCAATAATAACAGAACTTTTATGAATTATAGTGCAAATGTTTGGTTGGTGTAGAGCAGGGGTCCTCAAACTTTTTAAACAGGGGGCCAGTTCTCACTGCCCCTCAGACCGTTGGAGGACCGGACTATAGTTTTGAAAAAAAAAAAATATGAACAAATGCAGACACAGTACAGGAGATGACCAGAGACTGTGGACACAGTACAGGAGATGACCAGACACTGCAGACATACAACAGCGGCGGGAATACTGGGCCGGCCACTCCATAAGACGCACAGACATTTCCCCCCAAGTGTGTCTTATGGAGCGAAATAGTGCCCCATCATTGGTGTCAGTGGGAGGAATAGTGCCCCATCATTGGTGTCAGTGGCAAGAATCGTGCCCCATCATTAGTGTCAGTGGGAGGAATAGTGCCCCATCATTGGTGTCAGTGGGGAAAAACATGCCCCATCATTGGTGTCAGTGGGAATAAATGTGCCCCTCATTGGTGTCAGTGGGAGGAATAGTGCCCCATCATTGGTGTCAGTGGGAGGCATAGTGCCCCATCATTGGTGTCAGTGGGAGGAATAGTGCCCCATCATTAGTATTAGTGGGGGGAGGAATAGTGCCCCATTCTTGGTGTCAGTGAGGGGGAGGAATAGTGCCCCATCGTTGGTGTCAGTGGGGGGGGGAATAGTGCCCCGTCAGTGGGGGAAGGGGATAGTGTCCCAACATTGGTGTCAGTGGGAGGAATAGTGTCCCATCATTGGTGTCAGTGGGAGGAATAGTGTCCCATCATTGGTGTCAGTGGGAAGAATAGTGCCCCATCTTTGGTGTCAGTGGGAGGAATAGTGCCCCATCTATGGTATCAGTAGGGGGGAATAGTGTCCCAACATTGGTGTCAGTGGGAGGAATAGTACCCCATCATTGGTGTCGCAGTGGGGGAAGGAATAGTGCCCCATCTTTGGTGTCAGTGGGGGGGAATAGCGTCCCAACATTGGTGTCAGTGGGAGGAATAGTACCCCATCAATGGTGTCAGTGGGGGAAGGAATAGTGCCCCATCGTTGGTGTCAGTGGGGGGAGGAATAGCACCCCATCATTGGTGTCAGTGGGAGGAATAATGCCCCATCATTAGTATCAGTGACACCAATGATGGGGCACTATTCCTCCCACTGACACCAATGACACTTAACTTGCTGACCCCTGTTCCAGCATGGTGCTGCTGCAGCCAGCATACCTGGTTGCAGCAGCATCATCTGCACGGCACACTTACCTGTCAGCTGTCCTTCTTCACTCCGGCCTCTCCCTCGCTCGATGTTTGTGGGGCTGCTCGGCTCCGCCTCCTCGCAGGTGATTGGCTGCCTGTGTGCCTTTCCTGAGCTACAGTTCTGGCGCCCAAGTACCGGTGAGGAGGCGAAGCCCAGCGGCAGCGTGAACATCGAGTGAAGGAGTGGCCGGAGTGAATGAAGGAGCAGCGTTTCCTGGGCTGGATCGTCGTGGGACTGGGACACGGAGCCAGGTAAGATACAGCAGCCCCCTGCCCGCCCCTGTACTTAGAGTCCCTTCCTCGCGGCAAATACGCCCCTGGCGGCGGGCCGGATAAATGTCCTCAGCGGGCCGCATGTGGCCCGCGGGCTGTAGTTTGAGGACCCCTGCTGTAGAGTATCAGTTCTAGGCCTTTCATCTGTTTTCTATTGAAATATGACAACTCAGCCATCTATAATAACACTTCACAAGAGTGCAATTAATGAGACATCAGATATAGATAAGCATTCTGAGAGAATAGGATTGTTTTATGTGCCAGATCTGGTGTTTAACTTGGTTTAACACCCATGGGCATATATTGTAGAAGACAAATTAGAAGGTAGATGTGCAAAAATGTTCACTAGTTTCTGAAAGTTTAGAGAATCTCCAGTTTTAGGGTTGGGATTCTTGACTAAAAACAGTGGACCTTGGTGAAAAGTTTAAATGTTTTAATTATGGAAATGATGCAAGGGCTACACTGGTGATTTTTTTTTCTTGCTAAAAAATAGATTTACCTATTTTCTGGCAGTCACCTGGATAAGTTAAAGCGATACTAAAGGTTCAAACAATATATATAAATTGCGAATCACAACCTATATCTTCACGCTAAAGTGATGGTGAAAGTAACACATAAATTAAATTGTATGTAGTAAAATAGAGCAGCCGTTTTAAATAACTCATAAATCAATATACAGTGACTAAGAAAATTCACATAAACAGTGCTCTGTCATACTAGATTAAACTTAAAAAGGAGTCATAGATACACCAATTATAAAGAAAATAATATAGAAACTTCCTACAAAGTGAACAAACTGTGAAAAAGTTCAGTTCATTTCAGTAATGTGATATCTCTTTAAGGTAGCTCGATCCACCATCAATGTGATCCTGCAGTGATTATCACCCCATTGAATTCAACACTCACCAGAAGCTGGTGAATAAGCAGCAGTGGAAAATCAGTAGAAAACCACCTCCTTGATGATGAATGGTTTTGAAAGCGACAGTAGGATAATCAGCCAGCAGCCCAAAAAACAGCCTCCAATCAATGAATTAATGATCACTCCTGCTCCGATCTCCTCATCATCCAGATTAAATTATATCAATTCCACTCCCATGCTGACTGCGCATGCGCCTGCCAAATTACTAAAGGTTCTTTTTTTTTTTTTTGTAAAATAACAAACATGTCTATACTGACCTGCTGTGTGCAGTGGTTTTGCACAGAGCAGCCTGGATCCTCCTCTTCTCATTTCCCCTGCAGGCTCTCCTGGCTCTGTCTACGCCTTTCTGTCAGGTTCGCCCACAGCAAGCAGCTTGCTATGGGGGCACCCGCTGCTCCATGTGTCCATTCACACACGGAGCCACGGTTGACCCCGCCCCCTCACTCCTCAGTGGCTGACTGGCTGTGACTGACAACAGCGGGAGCCAATGCCTCCCACTTGCTGTCTTAGCAAAGACTCAGGACAGCCGAAGCTACCATGCACATTGCTGGATCTTGATGGGGCTCAGCTAAGTATTGGGGGGGCTGGGGGCACTGCTGCACACAGAAGGTTTTTTACCTTCATGCATAGATTGCATGAAGATAGAAAAAACTTGAGCCTTTACAACCGCTTTAATCTTGCTACTTAAATTGATAACAATTAAATTTCTAGATTTAAACAAATGGTTCCCATGGAGCAGGCTACACAAAAAGCATGTAGTCATGTTTGATTTTGCTTTAACTCACAAATCTCTATCCACGTGTAATTGACCATTGCAAGATGTTATTGCATACAGTTGCAAGAAAAGTATGTGAACCCTTTGGGATTACGTGGAGTTTTGCATGAATTGGGCATAAAATGTGCTCTGAACGTCATCTAAGTCACAACAATAGAAGAACACCGTCTGCTGAACATAATACTACACAAACATTAGATGTTGCCATGGTTTAATTGCACATAACATGTAAACATTCACAGTGCAGGGAAGAAATAGTATGTGAACCTTTGGATTTAATAACTGGTTGACCCTCTTTTGGCAGCAATAACCTCAACCAAAGGTTTCCTGTAGTTGCAGATCAGATCTGCACAACAATCTGGAGTAATTTTGGACCACTCCTCTTCACAAAACTGTTTCAGTGTAGCAATATTCTTGGGATGTCTGGTGTGAATCGCTCTCTTAAGGTCATGCCACAGCATTTCAATCGGGTTGAGGTCAGGACTCTGACTGGGCCACTCCAGAAGGCGTATTCTGTGCTGTTGCAGCCATTGTTTTGTTGAATTATTTGTATGCTTTGGGTCATTGTCCTGTTGCATCACCCATCCTCTGCGGAGCTTCAGTTGGTGGACAGATGGCCGTACGTTTTCCTTCAAAATGTCTTGATAAACTCTGGAATTCATTTTGCCATCAATGACAACAATCCGTCCAGGCCCTGAGGCAGCAAAGCAGCCCCAAACCATGATGCTCCCTCCGCCATGTTTTACAGTGGGGATGAGGTTTTGATGTTGGTGTGCTGTGCCTTTTTTTCTCCACACATAGTGTTGTGTGTTTCTTCCCAAACAACTCAATCTTGGTTTCATCTGTCCACAGTATATTTTGCCAGTAGTGCTGTGGAACATCCAGGTGCTCTTTTGCAAACTTCAAACGTGCTGCAATATTCTTTTTTGGACAGCAATGGCTTCCTCCGTGGTGTCCTTCCATGTACTCCATTCTTGTTTAATGTTTTCCTTATTGTAGATGTGTCAACAAAAATGTTAGCATGTGCCAGAGATTTCTGTAGGTCTTTAGCTGACACTCTGGGATTCTTCTTTACCTCATGCAGAATTCTGCGCTGTGCTCTTGCAGTCATTTTTACAGGACGACCACGCCTAGGGAGAGTAGCAACAGTGCTAAACTTTCTCCATTTGTAGACAGTCTGTCTTACCGTGGACACATGAACATCAAGGCTTTTGGAGATACTTTTGTAACCCTTTCCAGCTTCATGCAAGTCAACAATTCTTGATTGTAGGTCTTCTGAGAGCTCTTTTCTGCGAGGCATGGTTCACATCAGACAGTGCTTCTTGAAACCAGTAAACCCAAAACAGGTGTGTGTTTTTTAAGGGCAGGACAGCTGTCAGCAACACATCCAATATCATCACACTGATTGGAGTCAAGGTTGGCTCACTCCTGGCTCCAATTAGCTCTGGGAGAAGTCATTATGCTAGGGCCTCACATACTTTTTCCTCCCTGCACTGTGAATGTTTACATGTTATGTGCAATTAAACCATGGCAACATCTAATGTTTGTGTGTAGTATTATGTTCAGCAGACTGTGTTCTTCTATTGTTGTGACTTAGATGACGTTAAGAGCACATTTTATGCCCAATTCATGCAAAACTCCACGTAATCCCAAGGGGTTCACATACTTTTTCTTGCAACTATACTACTGTTCCATTTGTTTAGCGATCATTTGCTACACCTAGAGATTAACGTATAATTGAAGACAAAACATTTTTTTGAGTTTTAGATAGAGTGAGGAGGGATTAGATCACCTCTCAGGTTTTTATTGCTGTCTACGTCACCATTAGAGGGATTCACTCTCTCTGTTTGTCCTGGTGACTGTTATTGCTCACATTGAAAGTAAAGTCCCAAAGTTTAGGTGGTCACCAGAACAGAAATAGAGGAAAAATCTTCGAACTGGGACACTAATTCTGGTGACACTGGTTCCCTACCAGGATATTCAATTACGTATGAAGGATTTCCTCTCACTGCCTGTTTTGGCTAT